AAGCATCCTCTGAAAAGAGCAGCAACAGTTCTGCACAGTGGGCAGATGAATCCTAGAGGAAAGGACCAGCCTGGCACCAGTGCAGCAGCCGGCACAGCCAAGGGCAATGGCTTCAACAACCAAACATGGGTGTCCTGAATCTACCACGCCACCTCACCTGTCCTTGAACTCAGCAGACAGGCTCCAAAAGTCACCAACATCCACTGAAATCAGCACTTGAAGCTGCACAACACTCACGAGTTTATTTTGTGGGTGACACCAATCCATGCCCACTCTGCTTTTTGGTTAAAAATCAAGGACCAGTGAACTGTGCCTTCTCTTGTGTTCCCAGGACTGCCACTGGCTCTGCTCTACACATCTCTACAAGAGACACCTGCCCTTGCCCAAGGAGAAAGCTGCTTATGCAATAATGTCCCAGGAGCAGATTGGGGGGAGACAGAGGAGAATCAATTGATGGTGAAAGGTTCCCTCTTGATTTCCAAAATAACAGAGCAGCACTTTTCCTCCAAAAACAAAGCCAGCATAATTGTTTCTCCACTGCAGGCAGACCTACTCACCACTTTCCTCTTGCTAAGTCCTAATTTTCTTATTCTTTTTTGATCCATCTCCCTTATCTCATTGGTATAATCAAGTGCAGGGTGCATTCATTTCTTTATTGCCTTGATCCAGTGCCTCCCAACAGCAGCAGCCTAGCTGCAAAGCTCCAGAGCAGCCAGCATCAGCTTTCCTGCTTGCAGGACATTATCCTACCAGCACATGGCTCAGGCTGGCAGGGACAATCCCTCGTGCTGCTGTGGAACTGAGGACTGAGCTCTGCCTCCCCTGTTATCACCCCTTCTCCCTTTGCTGGGCCAGGATTATCTCTTGCAGTGGCACCAGCCCATGGGATGATGCCCATGTCCTTGGCACATTCCTGCTGCACAGTTCCCTGTCTCCCAGCCCTTTCCTAGCTGTGGAAAGGAGGGACTGGAGCACTCTCTGCACAGGAGTTGGGAGCACAGCTTGTCCCCCACAGCATGGCCATGAGAGGTGAGGTGAGGCTGCTGCTGCCCATTTGGGATGGATTATGAGCAGAAGTTTTTAAAAACACTGCTGCTGCTGCAGAATCACCCAGGCTGCCCCATCTCCAAAGCCCTGGGAGCTTTGCTGGGTGTTGAGCTGGGACAGCCCAGAGCAGCTACTGCCCAAAGCTGATCCATCCCACTGCCTGCCATGGCCCAAGGCAGAGGGAGATCCCTGCAGGGAGGAGTCATTCCAGCCCCCGGGCACCCTACACTGGGGCAGTGCCAGGATCAGAGCAGAGATGAAGAGCTCAGGAAACTCCTTTTTCCTCTGCTCGACCCCAAAATGAGGGAGGTGGGGGATGTCCCAGAGACAGCTACAGATGTGCCCAGCAAGCTCCCAGAGTCCTTACCAGACTGTCAGGATCACAGGCGTAGGAGATGCAGCCACACGGAACTGGAATTGTTCCTCAAAGCTCCCCAGGACGGTGGCATTGAAGGAGATGTGAATCGTCTGGATCCCACCTGCTGCAATGACGCCCTCCTCGGGGGCAAACTTGAAGCAGCGGCCCACGGTTGTGGCTGAAGGGATGTAGGTGAAGGGAGCATCTATAGCTCCTCGGTTCATCAGTTTCACCTGCAGCAGCAAGAAAGCAAAAGGGAAATTCATGTGCAATCTTCCCTTCTTGTCAGTTATTTTCTAATGATGCAATTCCCACCCAGAAAAGGCAGAAGATGCTTTGTGCTGCTGAAAGGCAGAAGTCCAAAAATACAACAGGACAAGTTCTGCCTTTGGGTTTTCATGCAAAGCAGCAGTAATTGCACATAACCAGAGTCACCCTGGGCTTCTCCCATGGACACAGAGCACTCCAGCTCTGGCCAGCATCACCAAGCTCATTCAGAGCTGGCCCTGAGAGCAACGTGGGGCAGCTGCGTAGTCAATCACCAGAGAGCTGCCACTGCCCCACTTAGCACAGCTCCAACAGTTCCATCTACTCATTCACCTTTTCCCAAATCATGACAACAACACATTGATAACGAGGCATCACCACCAAATACAGAGACAGCACCATCTTTTGGTAAAAAAACCCAGGGTGTTTTTCCTTTCCACAGCCAAGCTTTTGAAAGAGTCTGGCATGATGCAGTGCCTTATTTTCTCCCTCTTTCAGTTGCTCTCTATTTTTTTTGCAAACTTGACACTATTTTGAGGGGGAGGCAAAGAGGTAGAAAGATCCTTAGCTTTATTCCCAGGAACACTTTTGTCTTTCTAGAGTCAGGGATGCAGCAAGGCTGGAGTGTGGTGAGGGAGTGGTCAGCAAAGGAAAGAATCCCAAGCCCTTTGCAAGGGCCAGCACTGAGCCAGGAGGCTGGATGGCTTTCCTGTGACTCCCAGGAATAAGCAGGAGACACTCCACTGAGAATTGTTTGCAGGGTACTGAAGCTCAACACAGCCAGTTTGTTCCAGCTGCTTCTGAACAGTCCAGTGCAAAGGTGCCTTGTGTCTGGGGCTGCCACAAAAGCCTCTGAACGTGCAGCTTTTTGACCCAGTCTGGGTTTCATATGCCAAGGGGTTGTTTTTCAGGAAGCTTCTGAGCTGACCCCCAAGGAAGGCTGCCAAAAATTGGCATTACCAAGGGACTGGGGCTTCATGAACAGCAGACACACCTTTCTGACCCCACCAGATCTGCCCAGTACGTCCAATATTCCCTGCTCACAACTGCCCGTGTTGTCAGGAATTCCACAGGTCCACCAGGCTTGCTGCTGCCTCAGGAGCCATCAAGATCCATCCCAACCCCTGCTGCTCACCTCATAGACGTGGGAGGTGTTGACAAAAATGTTCCCAAGTTTCAGCATTTGACGGCTGAATTCAACCACGGGTCCTTGGCCTTCCCCTCGGAGGTGCAGGGGCAGCCTGCTCCCACGGCCTGGGGAGAGATGCTCATTTCAGTACAATAATTCCCACTGTTACACTCTATTTTCCAGCCTGCCTGAACGCTGGCCCCTGACTCTGAGCTGGATAAAACCAGCTCCTGATATTGCAAGAGAAGATTTGGACCCTTCTCTTCCCTCAGGACATTTCCCTTGGGGCTGACTTCCAATTTCTAACCCATTCCTTGGGCTGGTTTCCAATTTTAGCCACCAGTTTGCTGAGTTTTAAACATCTCTCATGTCCTGAAGTGACAGCCCATGGAGTAATGGGTATCAATGGAAAGAAAGGAAATTTAGGTGAGGTATTAGGAAGAAATGTTTTACTGTGAGGCTGGTGAGACACTGGAGCAGGCTCCCCAGGGGAATTGTGGAGGTTCCAGCCCTGAAAGTGTTCAAAGCCAGGCTGCTTGGGGCTTGGAGCTACCTGCTCTAGTGGGAGGTGTCCCTGCCCAGGGCAGGGCTCTTGGGACTGGACCATCTTTAAGGTCCATTCCATCCCTAACATACCATGATTCTATGGTTTCCTTCCCATGCACCTAGAGGAGCTTTGAAATCCATTCAGTGAAGGCACAAAGCTCATCAAGAGTTTGGCAATTGTACCTGGCAGACTGCTGGGCAGCAATTGCCAAACTACCTGGCCCAGTAGCACAAGACTTTGTTGCCCAAGCCCTCAACTTCTGGCACTCAGCATTGTGTTCTATCTCCACAGACTGGGAGCTGCAAGGTGCCAATTCCCACACAGGGAGAGAAGCAGGTGCTGGCCAAGGCTGGTCCCTCTACAAAGACCCTGGGCTCAGTGGGGCTCAGCCACCTCTGGTCTGGTGGTGTGTGAGCAGTGGGAGGTGATCCAGGCTCAGGGAGCACATTTCTAACTCAGCTCCTGCTGCCTGATGATGGATCCATGCCAAATGGACCCATCCTGGAGGTCACTGGTCTAGAGGGGCTTAGTGCTTGTTCTCTCAAGCTGTTCTGCTCTGGCCTTTGAGGAAATGCTGGCAAAGCCGTGCCATGAAAACATCTCCCTGCAGTGCCTGGGTTGTTCTGGGATCAGTAACCCAGACCCAGGATTCTGACCCTGGCCTTGCACAGGAGACTCCCTGGAAGCTGCAGGGGCAGTGGCATGTGCCAGCACTGCCCTGCTGCCCAGGGACTCTTCCCAGCAGTTCCAGGGGAGCTCAGTGGGCTCAGGCTTGCACCATGGCTTCAGTAGGGCTGAGAGAAGCAGGGGAAAGGAGCTGTACCTGAGATGTTGCAGTAAGCCACACTCCGATACTCTCGGGCCTTTAGGGGTTTAAAGGTCACCTTGATTTGGACTGAACTATTTGGCCCGATCTCTCCCTCCTGAAACAGAAAGAGACAGCAAAACATTTCTCTTCAAACTTCCCATTTCTTGTGTACAACCACAGTCCTGCAAGCCTTTATTTAGAGCATCAGTGATGAGTGAACAACACAAGGAGCCCAAGGAAACGCTCCAAACCCAGCTCAATACACCACTGGAAGCTCTCAATGCTCAGCTGATCAGCTCCCACTCTCCACAACATTCCCACTGCTCTGACACAAGCTGTTGGTCACATCATGCTGCTGTCAGCTGCAGTATGTAACTGCCTCTGTGCACTGGTGCACTTGGCAAGAAGAGAACATGATCCCCTTCCCTGGAAATAAAAATATTAGTTTAACCTGTTTGGAAAGAAAGCAGGGGTTGGGATTATTCTGGGGTTTACTCCAAGATGAGAAGGGATTTTGCACTGTGCAGACTCCAGGCATTCATCATCTCTCACAATGCCAATCCTCAGAATCAGGGCTCTGGTTGATGGGAGAACGTGGGGGTTCACTTGCATAAACAGAAGAGGAGGAGGAAAGGGAAGGGGAAGGGGAAGGGGAAGGGGAAAGGGAAGAGTTAGAGTGTTAGAGTGTTAGGGAGTGAGAGAGTTAGAGTTAGAGGAAGAAA